CCGGTCGAACCACGCGACTCTGCGGCCGCCAACCCATCACTCTGACCTTCGGTATTAATTAGATGTTCTGGATGGAGACGGACATGCGGAACTGACCGGGTTCTGGGTCGAGCTTTCAGTTCAAGAACAAATGCAGCAGGAAGTGAAACATCGATCCGTTTTCTGATCTGGGTTCGGGTTCTGTTGGTTCTGGATTTAATGCCGATCGGATCTGCTGGAAGCCAAACTGGACCAAGAGAAACCTGCTTTGTTCCTGATGAGGTTCTGAAGCTGAACTTTTGGGTTTCCTCCTGGAGACGGACAGGATTCTGCAGCAGCGGTTCTGGGCATGGCGCCGGTCCAGTTCTGAGGAGCAGGCCGCTGTTTGCGGCTGCAGTCGTCGCCCCAAAAATCACACAGCTGAAATTCTGATAAGTTTCTATTGTTCTGATCCGAACCACAGACACACAACAGACCTGGACAGAACCAGAACCCAGACAGGAGGGAGCAGAACCCACACCAGAACCGTTTAACACCTGTGGAAAACCGACCCGTCCACTTTGAAATCATCGCAGCGTCATCACCATCTGATCCGGAACCAGCACCAGCCTGACACACAGAACCACACCATGCAAGAAACCAACAGAACCAGCGGAGCCTCCCAGCAGCTCCCAGCATGCATTGGGGCTGCAGAGGCCGTACTTACTCATAATTCTTCCACACCGGCTTGGTCCGACTCGCGACATATTCCTCTGGGCTGCAGAGACACGACACACACACCTCACACACGGTACCACAGCTTCAGAACCACCAGGACGCCCTCTGGGCTCATCGCCGACCCGACGTCGGACAGAACCGGCAGGAGCTCAGCTGCATAAACTCTCCTCACAGACCCGAAGAAGCCCAAAGACCAGGAACCCGTCTCTGTTTGCACCTACCTGCTGCTTACAGGACTGAACTAAACCGCGCTGAGACAGACAGCGCCCAAACCGGTCAGAGCCCAAACCGGTCAGCGCCCAAACCGGTCAGAGCCCAAACCGGTCAGAGCGAAACCCAAGATGGAGGAAGATTTAACAGAACAGGAAGAACATCTGCATCCATTAGTTTGGTTCCCTAACTTCAGAATTAACACCTGAACTGGAACCAGAACCCAGAACTTTTTGCTTTGGTTTTATGCAGCTGAGCATCAGGAGGAGGAGGAGCAGGAGGAGGAGGAGGAGGACTTACCAGGAGTCTTCCTCAGTCTCCACTGAGCTGGTGGAGGAAGGAGGGAGGAAAGAAAGAGAGAAAGAAGAAGAAAAGCATTAAAAACGCTGTGATGGAGAGAGGGCCGAGAGACCTGCTGTTAGAGCAAAGAGAGAGAGGAGCAACGTGATTGGATGAGCTGGAGGAGGATCCAGTTTCTTCTGAGTTTTTCAGATGCAAATTTGTATTAAATGCAGTAAAAGTTGGACTGAGATCATTTCAAACTGTTTCACCAAAATCGATTCAATTAATTAATTAACAGCTGATCCAGATTTCACTTAAAATCCAGATAAAACGACGTAACCATGGAGATCCAGAAGATATCCAGAAAAAAAAAACACATTAAAAGAAAACTTTTGGAAACATCCTGTGTGAAAAATACAACTTCTTCTGGAAAATATGGAAAAATATGGAGTGAATTTTGTTTCATAATTGTTGTAAAACAAAGAAAAATGAATTTGTAAATGGAAAAAAAGAGCAAAAGGTCAAGATGCAGTTCTATTTAAAAAAAGAAACAGAAAAAATGTAATTTCTACTTATTTCTGTAGTTTTTTGTTCTTAAAATTTTTATCTGTAAAAACGGGTTTTTATATTTACAACAATAATGCAGCAAAACTTACTTCTATAAACAACAAAAGATTGGAAACAAACCAGAGATTTTTATCAATCCTTTCCTCTAAAAAATAATCAAACGTACATGAGCCACCTAAAACCAATCTAGATGATATAGTTCTGCTATTAACAACGAAATGAATGAGTAGAACCAGAAATCAAAGGAAACAATTAGAGTTTCAGAGAGAAAAATGATTGAAGGATTCAACAATTTTAAATCCAAATTTTTTGATGAAATAAAGATCCAGAAAGATTCACCAAAAACTTTGCAGAATTCAAGCTGCAGTAATCCAGAGATGAACCATCAAAAACCAGCAGAATCAAGATAATCTGGATTAAACCCAAAATGGTTTCAGAAAAATCCGGAAGTGAATCAGAGATGGACTGGATCTGAACGAGACGATCCCAGAAAGATTCAGGAAAAAAAAAAATTAAAGAACTGAGAGAAAAACAGGAAATAATCCAGAGTATAAATGGTTAGAAAAATCCCACATTTATCCATAAAATGTAGATTTTCAGCTGGTTCTGGTTGAACTGGATTCCAGTCACACCAGTTCTAGAAACGACCCAAAATAAACAAGTGTGAAAATCAGGAGACTCACTTTAGACGAGGTTTGGGCTCCGGCTGGATGCTGGGCTGCTCCGGGTTCTCCGGGGACGGTTCCTTTTCCTGAGGCGGGAGGTCCGAAGGAGGCAAGCTGCTGCACGCACGCACGCACACACACACACACACATACACACACACACACAATGAGCCAGGCACATATAGAGACCTTGAAGAATCCAATATCAGTTCATTTCTGCCAACTGGTTCTCTTCAAACCAAACATCATCAAATAAAACTAATCTAAATGAAAACATCTGAGTCGGTCTAATTGCAAAACCTACAGTGACCCTCTACCCTCCACATAATCTGCAGAGTACTGATCGGCCTGCAGGGGGCGCTGGGAGGCCCGTCTGAGGTCGGTCTCAGAGGTACAGACCTGCAGCCGGACGGAGGCTCCTCAGAGATGGAGCTGGTTTTGGAGAACAGCCGTGACTTCCTGCTCAGACCCAGAGCGGACATGTGATGGCTGAGGAAAGAGCGACTCCTAGTGGTCGACAGGCCCCACAGCAGGGAGACGGAGAGAGGAGAAGGAGGGAGACATCGGTGGTTAGAACAGGGACAGCAAACCCACAGTAGGACACCCAGGAGCAAAGGAGGAGAACCAGCAGAGGGGGGCAGGTTCTGGTTCCGGTCCC